TTGCATTTTTATTTTCAAAATTTGTTTCTTATTAATATGGCTATAAAATATTAATAAGTAGTTCCTCAATTTAATAAATACTACATATTTTTGCAGAAGTAATGCCATATGGAATACCCATGGAAAGTTTTACTAATTCAATATTTCTTTGGAAAGAAAGTTTTCTAATTTTCGTTTTAGTTCTAGCTCATAAGGTAAATTACTTTCTTGGTCTGCCAACTAAATTATTTATATAAATTTCAGAAATGGTCAGTTGAATTGGCTAGAACAAATTGCTCTGCTGCTGCTCAGTGTCCAACGTCCGGTGTCCAATGTCCACACACAATTTGGTGCAGCAGCGACAGCGTTTGGCAAACAGGCGTCAGGAGTCAGTAGATTAACTTTTATTATGACCGCAAATTAGTTGTCCTCGGCGCGTTGATGACGACAATCGACAATGATGACTTATTTACTAGACAGTCAGCAGCAACAGCAACAGCAACAACAACAATAGAGCCAGCATTGCAGCACTTTTGGCCAAGTACATAGAGAGTTGGCCAAGGATAACAGAGCTCTGCTTGGTTTACATAAGCTTAGCAACTGGCGCTGCTTGTCCTTTTGACTTTTATGTGTGCGCTGCTGCTCTATTGTACAATACATGCATAAGACTAGCTCACACACATACACGCACACACACTTACATGCACACACGCACACAGAGAGACATGGAGAAAAGCAACCCTTGTTGTGGCTACGCTGAGCAGCAAACGAAAAGTGCAAGTGCTCGTCCTTGTGCCCCTATTGCGATTGCTTTGTGGGCGTGGCCTCACTCGAATTGGAAACTCATCATCAAACAGCGCGGAGCACTCTCAGCGCCAACAATAAGAATAAGGATAACAAAGCCAGCGAGTATAAGTATATGTGAGAGCTAAACATATATATACACATATATTCATATGTATGTGCGTGTATGTGTGTGAATGTGTGTGTGTGTGTGTGTGTTATACTGGCTTTGTTTTGGCAGCCTTTTTGCGCTGCCATTTGTGGGTTTTTGCTTTGCAAAGGATTACTCCGCATCCTGCCACTGCCACTGGCAGCGAGTACATAAAACATGCTCATATAAGCGTATAAATATGTGATAATAATGATTAAAAGTTCTCATCATGCCAAGCCATCATCATTTATGCAAAGGATTTCCACCATGTGCCCTGTGTGTGTGTGTGTGTGTGTGTGTGTGTATCTCTTTCTCTCTCTGTCTTGCTCTCCTTTTCTCTGTCTCTTTCTTTCGGATTGTGTGTCCCAACATTTTTATTTGGCACCGCAGCTATGCGACGGCTTCTGCTCCACTATATGGGTGGCTTTGTCGCTTTGTGGCGCTGCGAGATTGCGCTTAAGCAGATGATTTCAATTTTCCACAATTTGGTGCTTTGCCAATTGTTGTGCCTGTATATGTGTGTGTGTGTGTGTGTGTAAATCTCTTTGTTGCCTGCCTTAATATGAGGACAATTATTTGATAAGTGGGCTGAATGTGCAGCAGCTCCTGTCGCGCTCCTTGACATGTGTCTGTGTGGGCGGGGAAGGAAAGGGTTCTCGCCATTCAGATTCTGTGTGGATCTGGCATCCCTCAGCCCTCAGCCCACAGCCCACAACTCGGGTGTTAAAGGCAAAGTTTTAATTGTTTTTATTTATATTTGTTTGCGGCGCCTATTTGGGGGCTCTCTGTGTGTTTCGGGCTGGCAAAGCGTTTGCTGAATTGGAAATATGTAAATCGTTTGAGTTTTGTGCTCCACTTAAATAAGTTTTATCAAGTCCTTTGTATGGGGTATTTGTTGTGTCTGTACAGTGGAGCTATTGTTGCCTTTTTAGGCAGCGAAAATTTATTCTTTGTCTAGCTAAATTCTATATAAAGTCAAAGTTTATTTGGATTTTAAAATATTTCCTTTTAATTTTATTCAATTTAGATGTTTGTACTTAAAGTATTTTGTATCGGCACAAAAGGTAACATTTAAGTGGAATCTCTATCAAGGTAAACTTCGCTGAGATGCTCGTCTCTCACAGCGACTGAAAGACTTTGTCAACTCGAGAGACTATTAAGAGGCGGTGGGGGGTAGATGACTGCAGCAGCAGCAGCAGAAAGACAGCCACTACAGCTACAGGCCAACAGGCAATGAGACTGTTTGCGGAAAATGCCAATGGAATGGATGTGACAGGCGCATCATTATATGGATATCATTATATCGTGTACTCGTATCTCGTGTGTATCGGCGTGGCGAGGACTACAATGGATGCCGATTGCACGCGGAGCCAAAAAGAAGGTTAAATGTCACAAGATGCTGCACACGGTTGTAGCTGACAAGCCTGGAGCACATATATGTTTCGAATGGGGGCGTGCATGGGCAATATAATAAAGAGCAAACATTTATACACGACACTCGATGGGAGACCATATATATATATATACATATAAATATATGTATATATGTATGTGTGTGTGTGGGAGGAACAGCTCGAGCTGGAGAATGAGGACAACCGCCGCGGAGTCAACTGTCGATATCAGCTGCTACAGTCGAATCATCCATTGCCCCAGCTCCCTTTGATTGCCCATGAAATGAATGCGAGCTCTGTTTGCTATCGATTTTCAGCATAACGTTTATTATTTTTATTATATGGCAAATACGCAGGGTGGCTGGCAAATTATGGGCTTTTCATAACGTTAACAGTCGCATAAATACGCTCTTTGTGTCAACCAAGTAGAAAAAATGCGATAAAAGATTATAAAGTGTGTGTGTCGGTTGGCTGGATGGTCGACTGGCGGCTAGAGCTGGATTCACTAGATGCCACAGTCTGTTTGCCGAAAAGGAGGGGGCGTGGCTGCTGAGCTGCTGGGACTGCCCGGCTTGGCTTGGCGGGCGACATCTGTTTCCGACATCTTTTAATAAAATTTTCATCTTTATTACGAAACGATTGTTTTATGTGGCTCGGCCCCGACGCAGGCCAGCGATGCTGCTCTCCAGTCACTACTTAAACTAGACGTGTCCTGCCACGCTGCCAGGAAGTCCTTCTGCGGCTCGCGCCACCCCGCATACCGCCTTCCTCTGTCCATTCTCTGTCCGACAGGAAGTAATTAGAATGAAGCGATTTTTAGTAGCGAGCTTCGCAAAAACTTTTCTTTCCTTCTCCACTTGCATTTTTTATTTTATTTTATATTTTTTTTTTATAAAAGTTTTCGCAGAAAGTTCATGACTTCACTCCATGAAAATTTAATTTGATTTCAGTTCTTTTATTACAAATTTTTTACCCATACTTATATATGTGTGTAAAATTTTGTCAAAAGTGGTTAATAAACAGGCGCTTGTATTGAAATAATTGCTCATTTAATTGCTGAATTTATGCACATTATACAATGCATTCATATTTATGAGCTGTGTGTGTGTGTGGTTTTTGTTGTGGTTTCCGAAGTGGTTTCACATAATATTTAAAGTGTTGTCAATATGTTTATGTGGTCAGAGCCGAGTGGGCAAACGTAATCATTGAACAGCCTCAACTCGTTTAATATTTCGAAATATGTTTTTATTTATTCATTTTATGCACATACTTGATGAGGTGAATATGTTTATGTCATGGCATTTAGTTAATTAACGGCTTATTAGAGTAATATAATAATAATTGATGAGTAATTAATTAATAGCTATTATTACAAAGCATTCGCTCAGTTGAAAGCTGATTTAGATGCACCGCCAGAATGATTTTCTTTAGTGGAATGCCGTTCAAGAATATATAAAATTTATTATCAGAAATTACTTATGTTAAGAGTTAATTAATTTCATTAAATCTTCTGCAAAGTATTTAAAACCTTTTCATTTTTAAAATTATATCAAAAGCTTACAAATTTCATGCTCCAAATACTTTTTCATATGCCATATTTAAATCATAAATATACCAAAAATATTTTGAGCAGCAATTTCAACGA